AAGAGGAAGCAGGCTCCCTGCTGAGCAGAGAGCCCAATGCGGGGCTCCATCTCAGGACCCCGAGACCATGACCTGAGCCGAAGGCAGAGGCTTTAACCCACTGAGCCACGCAGGTGCCCCCCCCCCTTTTTTTTTTTTTTAAGATTTTGTTTATTTATTTGACAGAGAGAAAGAGAGAGCACAATCAGAGGGAGCAACAGGCAGAAGGAGAGGGAGAAGCAGGCTCCCCACCGAGCAGGGATCCCAGTGTGGGACTTGATCCCAGGACGGTAGATTCATGACCTGAGCTGAAGGCAGACGCTTAACCAACTGAGCCACCCAGGTGCCCTTGAACTCCGTTACTTTCTTCTTCTTTTTTAAAAAAGATTTTATTTATTTATTTGACAGAGAGAGACACAGTGAGAGAGGGAACATAAGCAGGGGGACTAGGAGAGGGAAAGCAGGCTTCCCGCTGAGTGGGGAGCCCGATGTGGGGCTCGATCCCAGTATGCTGGGATCATGACCTGAGCCGAAGGCCGACTGCCCCCCTGCAGCAGTGCTGCTACACCATGGTAACGTCTTGTTTTAGTGGCGCTGATCCTAGAACTCAAACTCCACTTAATACCCATGTATATAAAACAGAATGACTGAGTTGCCGCCAACTACAGTAGGAGGAGATTGAAGAAAGACCAGCAGCTCCATTTTGGAGTTAGGAAAGAGGGGTCTGGCTGGAGGTAAAAATTTGGGAGTTAGCAGAATATTAATACTAATTTAAAGGCAGGAGACCAAGGGAATGTGCGCCAATGGAAGAAATATAGACGGAGGGGTGCCTGGGTGGCTCAGCCATTAAGCCTCTGCCTTCCGCTCAGGTCATGATCCGAGGGTCCTGGGATCGAGTCCCATATCAGGCTCCCTGCTCGATGGGAAGCCTGCTTCTCCCTCTCTCACCCCCCGTGCTTGTGATCCCTCTCTCACTGTGTCTCTCTCCCTTAAATAAATAAAATAAATAAAATCTTTAATATATATATATATATATATATATATAGAGAGAGAGAGAGAGAGAGAGAGAGAGAGAGACGGAGAAGCGCAGAACCCTGAGGAGCTTCAAAGTTTGGAATGTGGGAGGCGAACAAGAACCATAAAGGAGGCTAAGAGAGTGGCCAGTGTGCTGAGGACAGCAAAGGCAATGTCAGGGGAGGGAGACATGGACTGTGTCAGATTCTGTCATTAACTACCTTGAGACTGCGGTGCTGGGAAGGCCATCTACAGCTCCCAGTGCCCCCAGCTTAAACTGGAGCCCCTGGCTGCGCTGTGAACGCACCATCACAAACATGCAGCCCAGGTGAGCCTTCGAGTTGACTTCAGCCTCGGCAGACACGGACTGCAACAGCGTGGGCCTTTCCCCCGGGCTTCTCGAAGCACGGCAGCTGACCTTCCTGGAGAAGTCATGAGAGGTGGGGATCCGCCAGCCTCCCCAAAGCCTCTAGATGGCGGCAGGTACACCTGTCAGCTGGAGTGCGACCTCTTAGACACTGAGCTGAAACCATCCAGGAAGCCCCTCCCAGATTCCTGACCTACAGAAAACAGTGAGATAATAAATATTTGTTAAGGAGGCGCCTGGGTGGCTCAGGGGGTTAAGCTTCTGCCTTCAGCTCAGGTCATGATCTCAGGGTCCTGGGATCGAGCCCCACATCGGGCTCTCTGCTCAGCGGGGAGCCTGCTTCCCTCTCTCTGCCTGCCTCTGGCCCTACTTATGATCTCTGTCAAATACATAAATACAATTAAAAAAAAATAATTTGTTATTTTAAGCCACTACACTTTGAGGTGACTTTAACGCCATTAACAGACAACTAATACATGTAGTAATAGCGTCATTTCATGGGTGGACAAGGCGAAGCTCACAGGGACAACGTGACCAGCTCAAGGTCATGGAATGAACAAAGGACAGTACCGGCCTTCATCAGAGTAGGATCTCACACATGACATGTTGTTGACAAACACTCGTTGAATCGGCCCAATCTTTTTTTTTCTGTTATCGTCAGGTTACAGCTCAAGTACAGCCGTGGTGAGTTAACAACCCATGGTTATGCACATAATATCAGACTATACGACTAATTAAGCGCTCTGGGTCACAGACACCTCCCCTTTCTATTCAGTGACTTGCTAACCCAGGCAAAGGCCTGTGTATCAGGACATTTGTCCTCTTTGTTGCCTCGAATCCCAACATGCTTCTTTTGGGGGGGAATCCCAAGAGACATCAGAAATAGAGCCTGTATCAGTCAGGTTCCAACCAGAAGAAACCACGCAAGAATTTCAACAGTGATTTCATATAAAAATTACGAACTGTCCAGTAAGAATTCTAAAGAAGTACGAGGTGTAAGCTCAGGAGCCCGTGGAAGAGGCTCCCAACAGAAGGGCTGCCATCCAGACTGCGCCGGACAGGACACGGTTCGGATCGACAGAAGACATACAAAATACAGAGAAATTGCTGTAGTGCCACACTGGCAGAATTTGCTGGAAATCTCCCCTCTCAGGTACTGGGGAAAGTTGTTCATCGGAAAGTGTCTCAGCAGAAAGATTTCATTATAAAACTGCCCGTAGGGGTAAGCCAGGGAGAACTGCTGGCTCTGAGCACTGCTGAGGGCTGGGCACTGCAGGAGTCCGGCAAACCAGGAAGGAAAACTCCTTCCTTCTGCAACGGGTCTCCAGTGCCCTCCACTGACAAAGCTTCACATCATGCCTGTTGTCAAAGGGGAGATATTTAAAGGGCCCAGATTCATTTTAGAGAGCAGACAACGAAGAAGGAATCTGGAGCTGAGAAGCAATAAATTGGTAACTTGCACAACCTGGCTCAAATAGCATCCACAGAAATTCTATAGCTCAGGCATTTTGCTCAAGACAGCAAGAGAGTTTTTTTCTGGCTTGAGGCACGTATGAAACAAAACCTAACCAGCTCTGTAAGGAAGAAGTCTCAAACTAAAGTTGGGTAGCCAAGTTAATTTATAAAAGCAAGCACAGTAGGCTAGGTATATGAAAAATCAAATGCCAATGGGAAAAAAAACCCCGAAACTTTTTTTTTAACTGAACCACAGTGTAAGCATGTAACATACGACATTTACAATACTGAATTTTCAAAGATAAAATTTTAAAATACGCATTGAAAAACAGATTTTTTTGTTCATAATCTGTTATTCCTTTAACTTGGAACCAGAAACCTGACACCTTTTTTTCTGCACCAAGACGTCAATGTCTGGTCTTATAATTCGAGTTGCAATGTATAGAACTGAATGTAATCTTGTATCCTTTATGTTTTTTTTAAAGATTTTATTTATTTATTTGAGAGAGAGAGAGCATGAGAAGTGGGAGGGTCAGAGAAAGAAGCAGACTCCCTGCAGAGCAGGGAGCCCGATGTGGGACTCGATCCTGGGACTCCAGGATCATTTCCAGAGCCAAAGGCAGTCGCCTAACCAACTGAGCCACCCAGGTGTCCGTAATCTTGTATCCTTTAACTGGGAGCAGAAATTTAGTTTTACTCAATTTGTTAACAGGAAACAGCTCTTCACAGACATAGGTGCTTCCAAACATGGACAGAAACTTTGCACAAAAGTTTCTGTATCTGGGGTAACTCCTGCTGAGGTATTTGTAGAATTCTGGTGTTCCAATGTCATCATATTTAGTTTCTAATACCGTATTACACTGCAGTTCAATAACTTCCGTTTGTAACTCTTCATTAACACTGTCAGTGTTAACTGAGAGAGGTGGGCTGAACAATATGAGCTCATTTTCAGAATGTCTGAAATCAAAGAACCTTTCTTGGAATTCAATCTTCAGCTCCACGATTTTGGGGATGTAGCTTAAGCCATCGCTTTCATTTCTTGAAACTGATTTCCATGTAGGAAAGTGAGCCAGATTATTCACAGCCCAGTGAGTTTCCCAAAGACTCAAATTTTGCTAGGAAAGAGCAAACTGAATCATACATTTGGGTCCCCACTTGGGAACGTCTTCGCAGAGAAATAGTCAAAGTGTTTAGATGGTTTGTAATGTCAACCAAAAAGGCCAGGTCTCTGATCCAATCTTCCCTGGTGAGCTGGGGAAGGGGTTTGCCCTTGGAAGACATGAACAAATCTCTTTAATTAAGTCAAGAAATCTCTTCGGTACCATGCCACGACTAAGCCACCTTACCTTTGTATAGTAAAGGAGATTACCATATTGTGCTTCTAGTTCCTCTAGCAAAGCACTGAACCATCTACAGCTAGAGCCATGGTGAGACCCGGCTCACTGTGTTAATCACTACATCCATGACATGCTCTAGTTTTAACTTTTTTTTTTTTTTAAGATTTTATTTATTTGACAGACAAATCACAAGT